CAAGATCGGGGCTGATCCGGCCGACTAAAGCAAGATCGGGGCTGATCCGGCCGACTAAAGCAAGACCGGGGCTGATTCGGCCGACTAAAGCAAGATCGGGGCTGATCCGGCCGACTAAAGCAAGATCGGGGCTGATCCGGTCGACTAAAACAAGATCGAAACTGATCCGGCCGATTAAAGCAAGATCGAGACTGATCCGGCCGATTAAAGCAAGATCAGGGCTGATCTGGCCGACTAAAACAAGATCGGGGCTGATCCGGCCGATTAAAGCAAGATCGGGACTGATCCGGTCGATTCACATCAAAATCTAGTTTTCATGTGAAATGATTATGATCTTAATAAGTGTTCGAATATCTGTCCATTATTATCCACACATAATTGAACTCGATGTTCAAAACTGTCAACAGTCGATAAAAGTATATTTCTTGGAATGCTACGGCAGGCAAGAGTTATACGCTCCATCATATTCTCTCTTGTTGTGGGTGTTTTTGAATATACTACATTTTTCAAGTATCCCCATAAAAAGAAATCTAGACTTGACAAGTCTGGAGCTCTAGGACACCATGACACTGGTCCACCGCGTCCTATCCATCTACCTAGGAATGTGAGATCTAAATGATTTCTAACTCTTCTACTCCAGTACGCAGGCGCACCATCCTGTTGAAAGAACATATGTTGTCTTGTATCCAGATCGATATCTACAAACAACGCCGGCAATCTTTGTTGTAGAAAGTGTAAATAATTATTAACATTTTCGTCAAAGAAATAAGGGTCAAAGAGATAAGGTTTCCGTTTAATATGCCACACCATAAAATGAGGCTACAGCAATGTTGATGATTAACTTCTCTATACCCAACGTGGGTTTTCAACAGACCAATAATGAGAATTATGTCGATTTAATTGTCCAGTGTTGTAAAAAATTGCTTCGTCATTAAATAAAACAAATCTGAAAAATGTTCGATCACAATTTAACATTATTTGTGCCCACCTACAAAGTCTAGTCTTTGTTGAAAATCATTGAGCGTTAATTGTTGTGTCAAAGTGATATGGTAAGGATGGAAGTTATGAATGGTCAAGATCCTGCGACTTGTTCATTTCGGAATACCTAATTCTCTTTCGATTTGCCTCGTTGACACGCGTGGATTAATAGCTATCATTCCCAATACGACAAGTACTGTTGAATCATCCCTTTCTGGTACGTTAATATGACGTCTTTGTCGTTTTTGACGTTGACGTTGACGTTATTGTCGTTGACGCAATACAAGTCTGGAAATCGTACAATGATTTGGATGTCGTCTATGAGGAAATCGATTACGGTACAATACCGCTGCTTGTCGATAATTATTATGGCATTCTCCAAGTAAGAAAAATATCAATTATTTCGTTCAAAGTATAATCCGGCATTTTGCGTACATTAAGTTACAAGATAAAGTGAGAGCCGATATATTTATTATCCTGGTTGATATTGGACGACTAAGACAAAGGACCACGCACTAATCATATGGAAAAGTGGTCCCCGTTAAAATTGAAATAACTTGCGCGAAAGTATACTTTATGAAGTACTGATCAAAAGTCTCAATAGCATCAACCTTCTAAATCCGCTAGTTTTTACACTGTCAGCTCATAAAGACTGCTTGAAATTACTTTATTTCAGAAAAATGTAAAAGTACGCTTCTCTCTCTCTCTCTCTCTCTCTGTCCGTCATATTAAAGGTGCCTATATAATATATATATATATATCTCGAGATGAGCTATAAGAATGTGCAATGAGAAATAAGGGGTTCCATTTAAAAAATTAAAGTTGACCTTCACGTAACTTTCGGAGGACTATCCAAAGTCAAATCGATGGCACCATCTTATGTCCCCCTTCGAGTCAAAGAACTTTTGTCTGAAACATTTTTGTCTACTGGGTTTAGTTTTCGAGATATTTGGCTGGATCATTTAAAATGGGACACCCTGTATTTCTTAAAGTGTATATCGTAGAGCTAAATAAATTATTGCATCGTGCAGCGATAAAAGAAGCATAGAGTACCACATTCAAAATCCGGATTGTCATTTTTGTATGAAATTAAACATGTATTAAGGAAAATCGAAACTTTGATTTAAAAATCGTTCACAAAGCGACCTCTGAATCTCAATATTTTTAAATAAAAATTTAGTGGTGTTCTTTTGACATAGAATAGAAGCTTTTGAGCTGAGAGGGCAATTAGAAAAAAAATTCTTTTGTCAATCTAATATTATACATATAATACGTAAGTATATACATATATAAATGCATAATATGAAATTTTAACTGTTTTTATTAACTGTTTTTATTTAAGTGTTTCAGACAAAAGTTGTACTTCGAAAAAATCTATTTATTGATCTGAAGCTTGATTTTTTGTGGTGTTGCCAAGGTTGCATCAATTTTTTTTAATGGAACACCCTACTTTTGATTCCAGAATCTAATAGCTGGTGTCGAGAGCTTTCGAAAACGCTATAAGAAAATATTTTTTCATTAAATACTTTTTAAGTTATGATGCTTGAAAGTTACAGTACCGACGGCATTAGCATTATCCAAAGTGTACCCCACGAATGATCGATGCTTTCATTAGCTAGATCATCGTCCGACCTTGCCTTAGTTGGCTGGATCATCGTCCGATCTTGCCTTTATTGACTGGATCATCGTCTGATCTTGCCTTTGTTGGCTGGATCATCGTCCGATCTTGTCTTCATTAACTGCATTATTCTCCAATCTTTATCTGAGCACAAAAAACATGTAAATCCGCCTGAGAAATCTCCGCGCAGTACACCTTGGGTAATGCTAATACCGGCGGTACTATAATTTTCAAGTATAACAACTCAAAAAGTATTTAATGAAAAATATTTTCGTATAGCGTTTTGGAAAGCTTTTGACAATAGCTATTAAATTCTTTTGGAATCAAAAATAGGGTGTTTCATTTAAAAAAACAGATGTAACCTAACCTTGATCTGACCTTGACGACGCCATCTAAGGTCAAACTAATAAGATCAGTAAATAAATCTTTTTGAGCGCCACAACCTTTATTTGAAACACTTTTCTGTAAAACTTATATTTTCCGAGATATTCAAGTGTCCCAACTTTTTTGGGACACTGTATATTTTACATAAATTTGTACTTCCAAAATAAAATTGTTTTAATTTTCTTTATTACATTTATACAGCATTGAATCGTTGTGCATGAAATATCATACTTCAAAAAATTCAGAATCATCAATCGTTGCACATTTCGTAACATTAATAATAATATATGACGTATTCTTTCAGAGGATTAGTTTTTGCAGTATTATTCCCAATAATCGAAATCTTCGCATTCGTTATGGGAGTTGGTCAGGATCCGAAAGATTTGAAGATTGGGATTGTCAACAATGAAGCTGGCAACTGCGATAACAGTATCAACTTTGGCAATATTTGGAATGATAGGATCACCTGCTACTTTGGTAACCTGAGTTGTAGATTCCTGCATAATTTTGACTCGATCGCGACACAGGTACAACGATTTAAAAATTAATAATATACAGTTGAAGTATATGATTGAAAGGCTTTATGTTGTCTCTTTCGCAGATTTATCAATAAATTAAAATTAAGAGATCCTTTTAACTATTTCAATATAAATTTAGAGAATGATAACAGTAATAAGAACGTTAACATTTTTTTTGCAAATTCTTATAAATATTTGACTTTCAGAAATATTATAACGACGTTTCCGAAGCAAATAATGCTGTACAAAATGGAAAACTTAGAGGTTTAATATATTTTAGTCAAAACTTTTCCGAAGCTCTGCAGATACGAGTGGAAGATGCCACTTTCGTGAAGGATTCCGATTTACTCGCCAGTGAAATTCAAGTTTTCCTTGATATGAGTGGTATGTTATTTACGTATTGTATAAAGCATTCTCTAATAAATTTAAGGGGGTATACTCAGTTAGATTTGACGAAAAAAGCGATTTTTTTATTGTATTTTATGAAAGTACAACCTCTGAACAATATTTTCTGAAAGTTTTATAACAATCGGAGCAGTAGAACCAAAGTTATGGCTATTTATAGCGCGCTACCGAGATCGACGAAAGCAGTTTTAATGCGTCTCGAAAAAAAAAAGGAGGGAAGAATAACAAGAAGACAAAGCCAAAAAAGCTACCTGAAGTATACCGCAGATGCAGAAGGGACTCTTTATGGTCCAGGAATAGATGATACTATGTAAGTCCGAAAAAAAATGTTATTCATGAAAAAACTAAACCTGAATCTTTAACTGCGATTATCTCGGAATTTTGTTTTTTCAAAAGTATCGTTGCGGTGAGCATGATTTCTCGAAAACCATTTCACCGATCGATTTAAATCTTTGTCGTGTTTATTTCTAATTACAATGGCTCCCTCGTGAACGAAGGAATTTTTATTTGCACAAAAATTAACATTTTTATGGTCAAAAACCTGATTTTTTTTTACATCAAAAATCGAACTTTTTGGAAAAATCGTCACCATTTTTTTAAAAACACAAATTTCGGTAAACCCTTCGTTCACGAGGTCCGCATAGAAATATATTAACAAAATCTATTTGATTTTTTGATTTCAGATGAGTTGTTCCAGAGTTATCATGCTCACCGCAAGGGTCACTGAAAAAAATTTATTTTTGCAAAACGGCTATATTTTCTTTATTTTTATAAATTTAGACTCAAAAAAATTATTATAAGTACTTCAATGTATATACTATTAGATGCCATGAAGCACATTTCAATAAATGTTTGTCTATACTGCTAAAAAAAATCGTGAAAATCATCTTATTTTCCACATCCCAACTGAGTATAACCCCTTAAGAATTTACGCAAATATACAAAATTATTTCAAATATAAAATATCATTTAAAGAATTACACTAAAGATCGAAGGAATTAAGATCCAAACACTAAACGGTTTCAAATCATGAATACCTATGTTAGCATAAATGGCGCGCAAATTAATTGATTTATTAATAAAATTATAAATACATTTATAATGGCTTTTCCAGATAGACCAGTTGGTTTTTTCCTGCAAATGAAATTATTCAAGCGTTTTTTAGAGATTTACGAGGATATCATGAGAGAATGCAAATATTCGTCAAAATTAGCAGACCCGCTCATTCGTGTAAGTATATTTTATATTTTGTTATTAATATTTTATATTTTGTTAATATAATTAGTATATTTTATATTTTGTTAATATAATTAAATTTTTCTCTTTATTTTTAAAATCTCTCTCTCCCTTTCCATTGTTCTTTCTCTTTCTACTGTGTAGAAAATGAAAAAATAAAATTCAAATCATTTTCAGTTCGAAGAACCTGTTTATGGTACGACAGATCTTAATTATGCAGATTACATAGCACCAACATTCATGACGACGTAAGCAAAAGTCAATCTAATATTAGAAATATAAATGGATTCGCAAAGACTCCTTACTAATCACAAAGAAATTGGGTAAAATAAGGCAATAGAAGTCAGGCGCGATAATTGTTACGCAAAACAAGCAATGTGAATATAACAAAACTCTTTATTAAGTAACTCGCTTACATGTTTCGGCTTATTTTTTAGCCATCTTTAGAGACAAATTAATATTATAATTATCAATACCTACAAACTAATTCATTTTAGTCAGCCACTTCCACATACTTACAGAAACTTTAATATCGAAAAATGACTCTGATAACAATTTGATTTGAACACAATTTGGATTATTATCAGAGTCATTTTTCAATATTAAAGTTTCTGTAAGTATATGGAGATGGCTCACTAGAATAAATTAGTTTTTGTAGGTATTGTAATTATAATATTAATTTGTCTCTGAAAATGGCTCAAAACGGTGAGCCGAAACATGTAAGCGGATTATCTAATAAAGAGTTTTATGTTATATTCACATTGTTTGTTTTGCGCAACAATTAACGTGCCTGATTCCTATTGCTCTATTTTACCCAATTTCTTTCTAATATTATAAATAAAAGTCACTGTTATTAAAATATTTATACTTTTGCAGACTTAGCTTCTATTTAGCTATTTCAGTCTCTAGTACCTTGATAATTAGAGATCGATTGGAGGGAGTCTGGGATCGAAGCGTAGTCCAAGGTAATTTATCAATTTTCTCTCCCAAAAATTAGTTTTATTTGTAACTGCATTTTCATTTGTCTTTCTTGTCGTAATAATATTAATGTGTAATATATATATATATATATGCTACAGGGGTCAGAACAGACGAAATTTTGTTGTCTTACATTCTTGTTCAGAGCGTCATCATAATCATCCATACTACAATGATAACACTCTTATTCTTTCCTATATGGAGTCTGGAATGTAAAGGATCGATATTTATCGTAATCGTTCTTATGTTTCTTACGGGTTTTTGCGGATTGATGTGTGGTAAATATTACACATGTCGTAAACATTAAAAAAAGTATCAACTCAGAAACTGTTAAAAGTTAAAACTATTATTATACTTATTCGTATTATGTACTCTCAGGTTTCGTCATCTCTGTTATGTTTAAAACTTTCTTTATGGCTTTTACTTGTGCGAACGGAAACATGGTCCTGCTTTTATTTCTTAATGGTAAGTGTTTATTTCTTGTTTCACCATAAATATTTTTTATTTCAATTTTGTATTGTTAAATAATATCGTTATTAAATTGATTATATCTGAATTAAAATTTTTCTTAACAATTATACATTATATTGTTAACAGCAATTTAAAATTTTGAGCAAATGTTTGTTAAAATTAACATCAATAACATGTAACAAAAATTATTTTACGTTAATAAAATTTTTATTAATACATCAATTGATAAAATTGTAGGATCTATGTGGCCGATAGAAGGAATGCCAAAAATGCTTCGCTGGTTGAGCTATGTATTGCCAACTACCTTGTCCTCTATATCTATGAGAGGAATCATTTACAAAGGTTATTCCATATCTCAATCACAAGTTTATGTTGGTTTTTTAACAAATATAGGATGGATATTACTTTTTTTTATTGTGACTATGTTTGGTGTAAGATCAAAATCATGATATTAAAACATATAAAGAAATATATTTAAATTAAAGAGATATATTTAAAAACACATATAAAGAAAAGTCTTTAAAAAGAAAACAGTCGCATCCAATAATAAAATGTTTGTGTTAAATCGATAGTCGAATTTATTGCTGCCCCTTTTTCACGTTGCGGATTGGTTGTCTAGAGCTCGATCACATCGCGTGCATATAATTTCTATATTGGGCGTACGTCGTGTGATATTTTAATCGTTTATCGAATTTTAGATACTTATTTAGTAATTATTTTATAATTCTTATTAATGACAGGAACGATGACATTGTATTGCACAATGCGGAATTGGCGGAACGTTCGGGATTAGTCGTAGTTTCATTTCGTCGATTCCGTTCCGCTAAAATGTGTTTTTCTATATCCCATGAAGCGGAATTTCCGGAATGCACAATTAGCGCTGACCAATCACAAGAACCTTTCCGTAGATCACTTTCATTAGATGCACCGAAATAGCGTTTGTCATTGGCTTGTATTGATTGCTCATCTACAAGTTCCGCTCCATGAGACATAGGAAAATAAACTCCTGCGAATCGGAATTTCATACACATGTATACATTCGTCAAAATTCAAAAATTCCATAATCAAGAAACAAGTTGTATCTCGGTGACGTCAATATACACTCGTAAAAAACTAATTATTAGTAGTGTTACGTCCGAGGTTCCGCACGCATGGAACCTGAGGGGGTGAACGTAACGGGGTACTGTCTACCGTCGTTGTCGGATCCTAGCTCCGGACCGTAAGGGAGCGAGGCGGGAGAACCGACTCGGACGGGAGGCACTTCGCTTCGTCCTTAGGCTCTCGAAGAGCCGGGGGTCTGAAGGGAGACGAAGTGGAAGCCTCGCTCGAGGTCGTCGCTCCGTTGAGCGGCTCCCCGAGGCGGACGCACACGCTAAAGGCCGGGAAATGGGTCAGTGTGCCTTAGGGGCGCACTTCTATCCCAGTACGTCCGAATGCCCTTATTTTCGGTCTTGGAAATGAATCCAAAGGGCCGGGGATAGGACCGAGTGCAATCTTAGTGTGACGTTACGAATACAAGGAGATGTTTCTCAATAATAGAACAATCAGGATTAATAGATGATATAATTAAAATCATAAATTTTGATTACATTAGATCAGGGCTCGGCACGAAATGCACATTTCGGCCGATTTTC